CCAGCGGCACCCCACTCCCAGCGGCACCCCACCCCCAGCGGCGCCCCACCCCCAGCGGCGCCCCACCCCCAGCGGCACCCCACCCCCAGCGGCACCCCACTCCCAGCGGCACCCCACCCCCAGAGGCGCCCCACCCCCAGCGGCACCCCACTCCCAGCGGCACCCCACTCCCAGCGGCACCCCACTCCCAGCGGCGCCCCACTCCCAGCGGCGCCCCACCCCCAGCGGCGCCACACCCCCAGCGGCGCCCCACTCCCAGCGGCACCCCACTCCCAGCGGCACCACACTCCCAGCGGCACCCCACCCCCAGCGGCGCACCACCCCCAGCGGCGCACCACCCCCAGCGGCGCACCACTCCCAGCGGCGCCACACCCCAGCGGCACCCCACCCCCAGCGGCACCCCACCCCCAGCGGCACACTCCCAGCGGCGCCACCCCCAGCGGCACACCACCCCCAGCGGCACCCCACTCCCAGCGGCGCCCCACTCCCAGCGGCGCCACACTCCCAGCGGCGCCACACCCCCAGCGGCACCCCACTCCCAGCGGCACACCACCCCCAGCGGCACCCCACCCACCCAGCGGCGCACCACCCCCAGCGGCGCACCACCCCCAGCGGCACCCCACCCCCAGCGGCACCCCACCCCCAGCGGCACCCCACCCCCAGCGGCACACCACCCCCAGCGGCACACCACCCCCAGCGGCACCCCACTCCCAGCGGCACCCCACTCCCAGCGGCGCACCACTCCCAGCGGCACCCCACCCCCAGCGGCACACCACCCCCAGCGGCACACCACCCCCAGCGGCACCCCACCCCCAGCGGCACCCCACTCCCAGCGGCGCACCACTCCCAGCGGCGCCACACTCCCAGCGGCGCCACACTCCCAGCGGCGCCCCACTCCCAGCGGCGCACCACTCCCAGCGGCGCACCACTCCCACACTCCCAGCGGCGCCACACTCCCACGGCGCCACACTCCCAGCGGCGCACCACTCCCACCACTCCCAGCGGCGCACCACCCCCAGCGGCGCACCACCCCCAGCGGCGCACCACCCCCAGCGGCGCACCACCCCCAGCGGCGCACCACCCCCAGCGGCGCACCACTCCCAGCGGCGCACCACTCCCAGCGGCGCACCACTCCCAGCGGCGCACCACTCCCAGCGGCGCCCCACCCCCAGCGGCGCACCACTCCCAGCGGCGCCCCCACCCCCAGCGGCGCCCCACCCCCAGCGGCGCCCCACCCCCAGCGGCGCACCACCCCCAGCGGCGCCCCACCCCCAGCGGCGGCCCCACCCCCAGCGGCGCCCCACCCCCAGCGGCGCCCCACTCCCAGCGGCGCCCCACCCCCAGCGGCGCCCCACCCCCAGCGGCGCCCCACTCCCAGCGGCGCCACACTCCCAGCGGCGCCACACTCCCAGCGGCGCCCCACCCCCAGCGGCGCCCCACTCCCAGCGGCGCCCACTCCCAGCGGCGCCACACTCCCAGCGGCGCCACACTCCCAGCGGCGCCACACTCCCAGCGGCGCCCCACCCCCAGCGGCGCACCACTCCCAGCGGCGCACCACTCCCAGCGGCGCCACACTCCCAGCGGCGCCACACTCCCAGCGGCGCCACACTCCCAGCGGCGCCCCACCCCCAGCGGCGCCACACTCCCAGCGGCGCCACACTCCAAGCGGCGCCACACTCCCAGCGGCGCCACACTCCCAGCGGCGCCACACTCCCAGCGGCGCCACACTCCAAGCGGCGCCACACTCCCAGCGGCGCCACACTCCCAGCGGCGCCCCACTCCCAGCGGCGCCCCACCCCCAGCGGCGCCCCACTCCCAGCGGCACCACACTCCCAGCTGCGCACCACTCCCAGCGGCGCCCCACTCCCAGCGGCACCACACTCCCAGCGGCGCCCCACCCCCAGCGGCGCACCACCCCCAGCGGCGCCCCACTCCCAGCGGCGCCCCACTCCCAGCGGCGCCCCACTCCCAGCGGCGCCCCACTCCCAGCGGCGCCCCACTCCCAGCGGCGCCCCACTCCCAGCGGCGCCCTACTCCCAGCGGCGCCCCACTCCCAGCGGCGCCCACTCCCAGCGGCGCCCCACTCCCAGCGGCGCCCCACTCCCAGCGGCGCACCACCCCCAGCGGCGCACCACCCCCAGCGGCGCACCACTCCCAGCGGCGCCCCACTCCCAGCGGCGCCCCACTCCCAGCGGCGCCCCACTCCCAGCGGCGCCCCACCCCCAGCGGCGCACCACCCCCAGCGGCGCACCACTCCCAGCGGCGCACCACCCCCAGCGGCGCACCACTCCCAGCGGCGCACCACTCCCAGCGGCGCACCACTCCCAGCGGCGCCCCACTCCCAGCGGCACACACTCCCAGCGGCACCCCCAGCGGCGCACAACCCCCAGCGGTGCCCCACTCCCAGCGGCGCCCCACTCCAGCGGCGCCGCACTCCCAGCGGCGCACAACTCCCAGCGACGTCCCACTCCCAGCGGCACCCCACCCCCAGCGGCGCACAACTTCCAGCGGCGCACCACCCCCAGCTGCGCCCCACCCCCAGCGGCGCCCCACTCCCAGCGGCGCCGCACTCCTAGCGGCGCCCCACTCCCAGCGGCGCCCCACTCCCAGCGGCGCCCCACTCCCAGCGGCGCCCCACTCCCAGCGGCGCCCCACTCCCAGCGGCGCCCCACTCCCAGCGGCGCCCTACTCCCAGCGGCGCCCCACTCCCAGCGGCGTCCCACTCCCAGCGGCGCCCCACTCCCAGCGGCGCCCCACTCCCAGCGGCGTCCCACTCCCAGCGGCGCCCCACTCCCAGCGGCGCCCCACTCCCAGCGGCGCCCCACTCCCAGCGGCGCCCCACTCCCAGCGGCGCACCACCCCCAGCGGCGCACCACCCCCAGCGGCGCCCCACTCCCAGCGGCGCCCCACTCCCAGCGGCGCCCCACTCCCAGCGGCGCCCCACCCCCAGCGGCGCCCCACTCCCAGCGGCACCACACTCCCAGCGGCGCACCACTCCCAGCGGCGCCCCACTCCCAGCGGCACCACACTCCCAGCGGCGCCCCACCCCCAGCGGCGCCCCACTCCCAGCGGCGCCCCACCCCCAGCGGCGCACCACTCCCAGCGGCGCCCCACTCCCAGCGGCGCCCCACTCCCAGCGGCGCCCCACCCCCAGCGGCGCACCACTCCCAGCGGCGCCCCACTCCCAGCGGCGCCCACTCCCAGCGGCACACCACCCCCAGCGGCACCCCACCCCCAGCGGCGCCCCACCCCCAGCGGCGCCACACTCCCAGCGGCGCCCCACCGCTGGGAGTGTGTGTGAGTATATGTATGTATGAACAACTCGATAAATAATAATAATAATAAAATAAAGAGCCTTAAACAGAACATGCGTACTACTCACCTAGTTGTACTCACCTAGTTGTGTTTGCGGGGGTTGAGCTCTGACTCTTTGGTCCCGCCTCTCATCTGTCAATCAACTGGTGTACAAATTCCTGAGCCTATTTGGCTCTATCTTATCTACATTTGAAACTGTGTATGGAGTCAGCCTCCACCACAACACTACTTAATGCATTCCATTTGTTAACTACTCTGACACTGAAAAAGTTCTTGCTAACGTCTCTGTGGCTCATCTGGGTACTAAGTTTCCACCTGTGTCCCCTTGTTCGTGTCCCACCCACGCTAAAGAGTTTGTCTTTGTCCACCCTGTCAATTCCCCTGAGAATTTTGTAGGTGGTTATCATGTCTCCCCTTACTCTTCTGTTTTCCAGGGTTGTGAGGTTCAGCTTCCTTAGCCTTTCCTCGTAACTCATTCCTCTCAGTTCCGGAACCAGTCTCGTGGCATACCTCTTAATCTTCTCTAACTTTGTCTTGTGTTTAACTAGGTATGGACTCCAGGCTGGAGCTGCATTCTCCAGGATTGGTCTTACATAAGTGGTATACAGGGCCCTGAACGATTCCTTACACAAGTTTCTAAAGGCAGTTCTTATATTGGCAAGTCTAGCATATGCCGCTCATGATATCCTTTTGATGTGGGCCTCAGGGGACAGGTTCGGTGTGATATCGACCCCCAGATCTTTCTCTCTATTTGACTCTTGCAGGATTTCACCTCCCAGATGGTACCTTGTGTTCAGCCTTCTGCTCCCTTCGCCTAATTTCATTACTTTACACTTTCCTGAGTTAAACTTTAGCAGCCATTTTCTAGACCATTCTTCCAGTTTGTCCAGGTCATCCTGTAGTCTCTGTATCTTCATCCGTCATGATTCTTCTCATAATTTTTGCATCATCAGCAAACATTGAGAGGAATGAGTCTATACCCTCTGGAAGGTCGTTTACATATACTAGAAACAGAATGGGTCCGAGAACAGAGCCCTGTGGGACTCCGCTGGTGACATCTCGCCACTCTGATGCCCCCCCCCCCCCCCTCACCGTTATTCGCTGTTTCCTGTTGCTTAGCTACTCCCTTATCCACTGGAGCACCTTACCTTTGACTCCTGCCTGCTGCTCCAACTTTTGTAACAGCCTTTTGTGAGGTACTGTGTCAAAGGCTGTGTGGAAGCATCGGAGTGTGTATATATGAATGCTACACAGTATTCATCTATAGACATCCATATATGGTGAAACACATGTGAAGAACCTCTCACACACTCACAGCTCCCTGACAAGAGGGAACCAGCTTAGCTTAGCTGCCAACACCCACACATCGTGTCAGCAAGGCGGACAGCCCGCCTGCTTTCATACCTCTCACTGTATTTCCCACTTACATCGTGTCAGCAAGGCGGACAGCCCGCCTGCTTTCATACCTCTCACTGTATTTCCCACTTCTATACTTCCCTTCACCTATGCCTCTCCTTCCTCTTTACTCCCCCCCCCCCAAAAAAAAAAAGTACCAAATAGCTTCTGACACAAGCTCTGTAACCCTTCAAGTAGTCTAAGGTAGCCGGATGAATGCTCACGGGGCTCATGCGGTACTGGGCAACAATGTTAAGATGTAAACAATGTAAAGTAGAGCGTGTACTCACCAGCAGCGAGCTTCGTGGTGTACTCCTTGTTCTCTACGATGTAGTCCAGGCCGATTCTCGAGTCCATCTCGGCTCTGAGGGCGGACTCGCACTCAACCTGCAGGACGTGGGCATAGTTAACTGACATGGGTACTAGTAGTGGGCATAGTTAACTGACATGGGTACCAGTAGTGGGCATAGTTAACTGACATGGGTACTGAGTAGTGGGCATAGTTAACTGACATGGGTACCAGTAGTGGGCATAGTTAACTGACATGGGTACTGAGTAGTGGGCATAGTTAACTGACATGGGTACCAGTAGTGGGCATAGTTAACTGACATGGGTACTGAGTAGTGGGCATAGTTAACTGACATGGGTACCAGTATTGGGCATAGTTAACTGACATGGGTACTGAGTAGTGGGCATAGTTAACTGACATGGGTACTGAGTAGTGGGCATAGTTAACTGACATGGGTACCAGTAGTGGGCATAGTTAACTGACATGGGTACTGAGTAGTGGGCATAGTTAACTGACATGGGTACTGAGTAGTGGGCATAGTTAACTGACAAGGGTACTAGTAGTGGGCATAGTTAACTGACATGGGTACTGAGTAGTGGGCATAGTTAACTGACAAGGGTACTAGTAGTGGGCATAGTTAACTGACATATATGACAAATAATATATAAATAGAAGATACTTCAAGGCCAGTTCCCAAATTTGCACAGTAAAATAACAACATACTGGAACGAAAGATACGGAAAGAACTGGAGAATAGAACCAGTGAGGAGTAGAGGTGCCATAGGCACAATCAGAGAACACTGTCTGAACATCAGAGGTCCACAGCTGTTCAACACCCTCCCAGCAAGCATTAGAAATATTGCAGGAACAAAGGTGGATGTATTCAAGAGGCACTTAGACAAGTTCTTGCAATAAGTGCCGGACCAACCAGGCTGTAGCAAATATGTGGGCCTGCGGGCCGCTTCAAGCAACAGTGCATGAAGCGTGGTGCTATTATCTACTGTCTCTCCATGGTTAGGTTAGGTTAAAGTTACTTTAGGTTAAGGTTTGCTAAGGTTAGGTTAGGTTAGATTATGTTTCATTACGTTTGGATACGTTAATGCGATGTATTATTGACGATAATGTCAAATCTGGACTTCGAAAACTGTTAAATATGTCCAAATTCGTTTACAGAACACCATATTCTTCAAAGAAAATATTTTTAAAATAAGCTTTTTACATTTTAAACCATTGATTTCTATTATATAAAAGTTATAACTTGAGAATCTCTGTTTACAACAAAATTTAATTTGCCAGTTTACAAGTATACTATGACTGGAACTGTAATATGCTTTCCGACCTTCACAAATATGTGGGTAACAATATTCAGGTGGTTTGAGGGGGGGGATGGTTGTTTGAGGGGGTGTGACTGCTTGAGGGGGGGTGTGATTGCTTGAGGGTTTGTGATTGCTTGAAGGGGGGATATGGTTACTTGAGGAGGGGTGTGTGGTTGCTTGAGGGGTGTATGGTTGCTTGAGGGGTGTGTGGTTGCTTGAGGGGTGTGTGGTTGCTTGAGGGGGGTGTGGTTGCTTGAAGGGGGTGTGGTTGCTTGAGGGGTGTGTGTGGTTGCTTGAAGGGGGATGTGGTTGCTTGAGGGGGGATGTGGCTGCTTGAGGGGGGTGTGGTTGCTTGAGGGGGGTGTGGTTGCTTGAGGGTGGTGTGGTTGCTTGAAGGGGGATGTGGTTGCTTGAAGGGGGATGTGGTTGCTTGAGGGGGGATGTGGTTGCTTGAGGGGGGATGTGATTGCTTGAAGGGGGATGTGGTTGCTTGAGGGAGGATGTGGTTGTTTGAGGGGGGATGTGGTTGCTTGAGGGGGGATGTGGTTGCTTGAGGGGGGTGTGGTTGCTTGAAGGGGGATGTGGTTGCTTGAGGGGGATGTGGTTGCTTGAGGGGGGTGTGGTTGCTTGAAGGGGGATGTGGTTGCATGAAGGGGGATGTGGTTGCTTGAGGGGGGATGTGGTTGCTTGAAGGAGGATGTGGTTGCTTGAAGGGGGATGTGGTTGCTTGAGGGGGGATGTGGTTGCTTGAGGGGGGATGTGGTTGCTTGAGGGGGGATGTGATTGCTTGAGGGGGGATGTGGTTGCTTGAAGGGGGATGTAGTTGCTTGAGGGGGGATGTGGTTGCTTGAAGGGGATGTGGTTGCTTGAGGGGGGATGTGGTTGCTTGAAGGGGGATGTGGTTGCTTGAAGGGGGATGTGGTTGCTTGAGGGGGGATGAGGTTGCTTGAGGGGGGTGTGGTTGCTTGAAGGGGGATGTGGTTGCTTAAAGGGGGATGTGGTTGCTTGAGGGGGGATGTGGTTGCTTGAGGGTGGTGTGGTTGCTTGAGGGGGGGATGTGGTTGCTTGAGGGGGGATGTGGTTGCTTGAGGGGGGATGTGGTTGCTTGAGGGGGGATGTGGTTGCTTGAGGGTGGTGTGGTTGCTTGAAGGGGGATGTGGTTGCTTGAAGGGGATGTGGTTGCTTGAAGGGGGATGTGGTTGCTTGAGGGGAGATGTGGTTGCTTGAAGGGGGATGTGGTTGCTTGAGGGGGGATGTGGTTGCTTGAGGGGGGTGTGGTTGCTTGAGGGGGGTGTGGTTGCTTGAAGGGGGTGTGGTTGCTTGAGGGAGATGTGGTTGCTTGAGGGGGATATGTGGTTGCTTGAGGGGGATGTGTGGTTGCTTGAGGGGGTGTGTGGTTGCTTGAGGGGTGTGTGGTTGCTTGAGGGGTGTGTGGTTGCTTGAGGGGGATGTGGTTGCTTGAGGGGGATGTGGTTGCTTGAGTGGGGTGTGGTTGCTTGAGGGGGGTGTGGTTGCTTGAGGGGTGTGTGGTTGCTTGAGGGGTGTGTGGTTGCTTGAGGGGGTTTGGTTGCTTGAGGGGGTGTGGTTGCTTAAGGGGGTGAGGTTGTTTGAGTGGGTGGGGGGTATTGTTGCTTGAGGGGGGATACCTGGTTGATGGGGTTCTGGGAGTTCTTCTACTCCCCAAGCCCGGCCCGAGGCCAAACTTGACTTGTGAGAGTTTGGTCCACTAGGCTGTTGCTTTCAGCGGCCCGCTGGCCCACATACCCACCACAGCCCGGTTGGTCCGGCACTCCTTGGAGGAAACAATCTATTTTCCTCTTGAAGATGTCCACGGTTGTTCCCACAATATTTCTGATAGTCGCTGGGAGGACGTTGAACAACCGGGGACCTCTGATGTTTATGCAGTGTTCTCTGATTGTGCCTATGGCACCTCTGCTCTTCACTGGTTCTGTTCTGCATTGTCTTCCATATCGTTGACTCCAGTACGTTGTTATTTTACTGTGTAGATTTGGGACCTGGCCTTCCAGTATTTTCCATGTGTATATTATTTGGTATCTCTCTCGTCTCCTGTCTAGAGAGTACATTTGGAGAGCTTTGAGACGATCTCAATAATTTAGGTGTTTTATCTCGTCTATGCGTGCCGTATATGTTCTCTATTTATCTCAATTTCAGCAATCTCTCCTGCTCTGAAAGGGGAAGTGAGCACTGAGCAGTACTCAGGACGGGACAACACAAGTGATTTGAAGAGTACAACCATTGTGATGGGATCTCTGGACTTGAAAGTTCTCGTAATCCATCCTATCATTTTTCTGGCTGACGCAATACTTGCTTCGTTATGTTCCCTAAACGTTAGGTCGTCGGACATCATTATTCTTAAATCCTTGACATGCTGTTTTCCTTCTATTGCAGATTCGATTGTGTTTTGTACCCTGCATTATGTTTAAGATCCTCATTTTTGCCGTATTTGAGTACCTGGAATTTATCACCTTTAAACATCATGTTATTTTCTGCTGCCCAATCGAAAACTTTGTTAATATCTGTTTGTAGTTTATCAATGTCTTCAGCAGAGGTAATTTTCATGCTGATTTTTGTATCATCTGCAAAGGATAACACGAAGCTGTGACTTGTGTTTATGTCTATATCTGATATGAGAATAAGGAACAGCAGTGGTGCAAGGACTGTACCTTGGGGTACAGAGCTTTTAACTGCACTCGGACTCGATTTTACTTGATTGACTGTTACTCTTTGTGTTCTGTTCGACAGGAAATTGAGTATCCAGCATCCTACTTTACCAGTTATACCCATTGACCTCATTTTGTGTGCAATCACTCCATGGTCACATTTGTCGAATGCCTTTGCAAAATCTGTGTATACGACATCTGCATTATGTTTTTCCTCTAATGCCTCAGTGATTTTGTCATAGTGGTCAAGTAGCTGTGAGAGGCATGATCTTCCTGCTCTAAATCCATGCTGGCCTGGGTTGTGGTGGTCATTGGTTTCCATGAATCTAGTGACCTGACTCCTGATCACTCTCTCAAATACTTTTATTATGTGGGACGTTAGTGCAACTGGTCTATAATTCTTTGCCAATGCTTTGCTACCACCCTTGTGTAGAGGGGCAATGTCTGCTGCTTTAAGCGCATCTGGTATCTCCCCTGTGTCCAAGCTCTTCCTCCACACTATACTGAGTGCCTGTGCTACTGGCACTTTGCATTTCTTTATATATATTGAATTCCATGAGTCTGGACCCGGGGCTGAGTGCATGGGAATATTGTCAATTTCTCTTTCAAAATCTGCCACGCTCGTGTTGATATCAGTTATATTTACAGGGGTTTGAGTATCATTCATAAAGAAATTGTCCGAATCTTCCACTTTCATGCTGAGTATCGGAGTGCTAAACATGTCCTCATACTTCTTTTTTTTAGGATTTCACTAATTTCTTTGTCATCCTCAGTGTATGAACCTTCACTAATACGAGTAAGTCCAATACTGGCAGTGGTTTTCGCTTTTGATTTAGCATATGTGAAGAAATATTTTGGGTTTTTCTTTATTTCTTGAATTGCTTTCTGTTCTAGTTGCCTTTCTTCAGTCTGATAGGAATGCTTCAGTCTCTGTTCGATTTCTTCAATCTCCCTGTTTAAATTATTTCTTCTCTGTATGGAGAGTCGTGTTTGCTTAAGCATTTCCGTTAATTTCTTCATCGTTTTGTAGTGTCGTCTGCGTTCTCTTTCTACATTGGGCCTCTTTCTGGCTTTCCTCAAAGGAACATGTTTCAGGCAGAC